GGGGGGAGGGGGAGGGGGGGGGGTTGCGTGAGGGAAAAGCGAGGCGAAGCAGAGCTGATTGAGATTCGGGCCTCCGGAGCTGGGAGCTGAGGGACAACAAGCTCGCTTATTGGAATTCTTCTTTTCTTTTTTTTCTCTTTTTCCTAATAAATTAATTATTCTCATCCAATTTAGAGCCAGATGAAAAGAGCGAGAGAATCACAGCGGGCAGAAAAATGTAGCTTTGTGGTGACCGGGCCCACGGCGCCTTGCTCATGTCTGAATGGTAATGTTATGTATTGTGTTATTTATCATTACAGCACGTTTTAAAGTGGCTGTGTCGCTAATATTCTCAGTCCAAATGAAAAGTTATTTTGAGGGTTACTCCAAAACATGAACTGTTCAACCATGCATGAAAGCCCTGACTTTTTTTTTTTTTAATTATTCAGCTCGAGAAATGAGGCTTAGACAGCAATGTAAAATTTGGTAGGCATATCGTTCATGGACCCACAAAAAAGTTTCAAGAACCCATGCCTGAAAATTACAGGATGTGTGGAATTTTGCTTTGAAGTGGACATTTTTGGGTAATTTTGCCCATTTGCTAGGGTCGTTCAGAGACAGACTTGTCCTCGAGATATATATATATATATACCGGTGTTTAGATTATATATATATATATTTTTTTTTTTTTTGCGATTGGTAGGGGAAACATCCATTTTGTTCAAAGCTGCCTTTTTAGGGGCATTTTAGAAACTCTGATAAGTAAAGTCAACATTTTGAAAATTCAGCCCCTGAAGCCACTCACTCAGCAACATGGAATTTGGTAGGCATCTCTATCAGGAATGTACTCACAAAGAACTCTCAAAATCTATACCCAAAAATACACAAATAATGAACCATTTTGGTTCAAAGCGGCCTTTTTACGGTCATTTTGAAACTCTGATATGTAAAGTTACAAATTTGAAAACTAAGCCACTGAAGCCAGTTTCACTGAGCAACATGGAATTTGGTAGGCATTTCTATCATGAGTAAACCCACAACAAGATATCAACAACCCATGTCTGAAAAACACAGGAAGTCCACCATTGTGGGTTGATTTGGACTATTTCCAGGGGTCTTTCAAAATTAAAATGGCAAACAGATTTTCGCAACAGTTACCAAAACTGAAGCAAATACTGTACACTAGATACATAGACGACACAAAAATGTGAAACGTTTCATCACTGTGTGCGCAAAGCACAGCACCAACGGCCTGAAACCAGGAAACTAATACACGAACGGGACACATTTGAAAATTCAGCCCTTGAGAACACCTTCCTCCTGAAATTTGGTAAGCATGTCTTTCAGGCATCTTGGGGTTGTCATGGTTCTGTTTGTGACCAACGGGTGGCACTGTAGGGCTCCGCCTGCAGCTGCACACCTGTTGGTCATTGTGTCGCTAGTTGTCACTTTAAAAGACTTGATGCCTGTCCATTCAGTGTCGGGTCATTGTTGCTGTTGCTGGTGCTGTTGCTGTTCCTGACTTTGGTTCTGTTCGTGTTTTGCTTCTGCCATCGGTTTTTGTTTGTTACTTTGGATTATTGTTGTTTCCAGGCCTTTGTTTGTTCTGGATTTAGTTTTTTCAGCATTTTGTGAATAGAGTTTGTCGAGTTCACCCTGCTCCTCCCTCTTGACTGCTTTTTGGGGTCCTCCATCACCACCGCATCGTGACAGGGGTCTTGTTGACAAGTGAGGGCATGAGGGAGCGATGCAGCGTCTGCAGTGTTGCGGACTTTGTATCGGTCTGTCGTGGTGAAGAAGGAGCTAAGCCAAAAGGTGAAGCTCTCAATTTACCAGTCGATCTACGTTCCAACCCTCACCTATGGTCACGAGCTATGGGTCATGACCCAAAGAACAAGATCCCAGATACAAGTGGCCGAAATGAGTTTTCTCCACAGGGTGTCTGGCTCTCCCTTCGAGATAAGGTGAGAAGCTCGGTCATCCGGGAGGGGCTAGGAGTCGAGCCGTTTCTCCTCCTCATTGAGAGGAGCCAGATGAGGTGGCTCGGGCATCTGATTAAGATGCCTCCTGAACACCTCCCTGGTGACGTGTTCCGGGCATGTCCCACCGGCAGGAGGCCCCGGGGATGACCCAGGCCACACTGGAGAGACTATGTCTCCCAGCTGGCATGGGAACGCCTCGGGATCCGCCAGGAAGAGCTGGAAGAAGTGGCTGGGGAGAGGGAAGTCTGGGCTTCCCTGCTAAAGGTGTGCCCCCGCGACCCGACCCCGGGTAAGCGGTAGAAAATGGATGGATGGATGGATGGATGGATGGATGTCTTTCAGGTTCATGAAAAAGAAACAGGAAATTGGCCATTTTGCTCTAAAGAATACAATTCCAGAGGTCCTTCCAAAACAATTCTAATTATTGTATCATATTTGAATGGAACGAGAAAAATAAATTATGAAGTGCAAGGCAATTTGGCCCCTGGGAAAATACTGATTCCATCATGAATCAAAAGTGAACACCTGACAAGGCATCTCAAATTTGTGTATTAATAATGTGCAGGTGTGACTTTTAAACAGCAGCAGAGTGAAACAGAGAGGAACAAAAAACACACAGCATTAATGTTTAACCGTTTAAAGCTGCAACCTGCTATATGATGACAGAGGGAATAGTGGCTGAGTTACATTCTAGATACTGCGGCTAATTCGAGGTTCATCTTGATTCCACCTTCGCTATCTCGTCGACTTTTAAACGGTCACTTACAGGGTGGATTTTGCTACAGCGGGTGTGTCCGGAACACATCACGTGATGAACGGGGTTCAGTGTACCTTGGTGAACATGGGCTTGCCATGCTGAGTGACCATGGTGCACTGGTCGCAGTCCAACGTGATGCACGAGTTGTGGAAGGACTCCTTGGAGTGCTTGAGGATGTAGTGCAGCTCACTGACGCCGCCCTCAAACACCGTGCTGAAGTAACGGGGGATCAGCGTCCGTCCAATCGCTGCAGTGGAGAAGGGCAAATAGGACAAGGGACGATGTGGTCAATGAGATAATGTGTGGAGAATGCTCACGTGCTAACAGTTGCTAAGAGCAAAGCAAAATATCACCTGGAATACAAAAAAGGGATTTTTTTTGTACAAAGGGGGTTTTACATCATGTGCTGTAATTACATACTGTATACCCTTTCAAATTGGAATGTATAAAAGGCTAACACACTAATAGAATTTATGCTAGTATCATCGCAAGACTGTATCTTGAATACTAAAAGTACATAGGCAGATGAATCGAGAATTTAAATCATGCCGAGTATCGCAAAACCCTTTCAAATGAGAATGTAGAAAATGAGAACATGTATTAGTTGGTCTGATAAACTGTGGATATATACAATACAGTACAGTTGAACCTCGTTACAAAGTACCTTGAGGGACATAACGAATTTGTATGTTATAACAGTAGTTTGTTGTAACCATTTCAAATAAAATGGCCACCAACTACGATGTATAATACAGTATGAACATTATAAGATTGAAAAACATAAACATGTAATTCAGTATATACAAAAACATGTGTACAGCATGAAGGAAAAAATTATTCTATTAAACATGAAACACACAACTGTTACGTTCCTACTTCATTCAGTCAGCAAATGAAATGTGTGTTCTCCAGTTCAGGTTGCGCCATGCCCCGAAGCCTCTGTCACACGTTTTTATGTTCTGGTCAAAACAATAATAGTGTTTGCCATATAGCGGTGTCTTAGTTTCAAGGAACTAAGTTGAAGTGAGTTGGAGGGTGGGGGAGCTTCATTCTGACAACAATAGTGCTTTATTTCCAAATTGTGGCATCTTGGTCCCAAAGAACTATGGTGAAGTGAGTTGAGGTGCTTTTAGGCAAGTTAAGTCACATTTATTTAGATACTGTAGCAATTTTTATACACAGGGCAACTTAATGTGCTTTACTCAATCAAAAGCACAACACCTAAAAGCGTTTACAAACAGAACGGATGAAGACATTCAAAGTTAGACACAAAATATTGCTCCACTGCCTTCTTGTCGCATCTTGTTTCCAAGGGACTATGATGAAGTTGAGGAGCTTCATTTGGACAAAAGTAATGCTTTGCCACCATCTTGTTGCATCTTTATAGCAAGGAATTTTGTTAAAATAGATTGAGGAGCTCAATTGTGACAAAAAAAAAGTGCTTTGCCAAAATCTCATGGTATCCTGGTGCCAACGAACTACTGTATGTGAGTTGAGCGTGCCATTTAGACAAATGTAGTGCTTTGATGCTAACTTGTGGCATCTTGGTGCTGAAGAACTGCTGTATGTTGGAGTGAGTTGAGGCATTTCATTTCGACAAAAGTAGTGCTTTTCTGCTATCTCATGGCATCTATAGGCAATTGGTGACATCAATTCCTCATGGATTTTCACTACTGGCAGCAAGGCTCGGTCAGTAACTCCGTATAGAAAGCGCCTTGGCCAGGTTACCTCACAATTTAGACCGTGCCATGTAGTCCAAAACATAAACATCAAAACATCAAACTCAGATGTCTGAAACACTTTTGATAATGGGTATGATGCCAACATGCGAACAGTTGCTATGCTAATGTAATATCACATTCAAATCAGTAAGATACCAGCATCACAAAACGCGATTTTTTTCCCCTTTATTTAACCTCGTCGGGTGGAATATTTTCTCATTTTACAGTGACTAACTTTTGTTTGTTTTTTTTTTTTTACACCTGTATGTTTAGGCAGTTATAATGTCACTTAAAAGGTTTTACGCGGCTGACTTCAGAACAGATTATTTCCATTTCTATTGTGACCAATAGGAAAAATGCGTGTGTGTTTTTGTGTGTGAATTTGTGTGTGTGCACAGCCATGACTGGCATGTTTTTCCAACTCAATAGTCAGGCATGGCTAAGTAACACATACAGTGTTTGGCATCATGAGCAGCAATTGGACCCCTCGCTCGTCTCTCTCTCTCTCTCTCTCTCTCTCTCTCTCTCTCTCTCTCTCTCTCTCTCTCTCTCTCTGTGTCTGCCTCGCTCGCTCGGCCAGCACTACAAAACAAAGTAAGTCTTGCAGTGGAGCTGACTGCTAATGAGCAGGAGCTCTGAGGGGGGTTGCGCGAGCAGGGGGGATGAAAGATGGAAAGAGGGAGCGGTAGAAGAAGGGAAGATGAAAAAAATAAGGGTTGTCAGCGAGTGAGGGAGCGAGACAGAGAGAGAAAGAGAGAGCGAGTGTGGTGGCGAGGTGGATTGAGGCCCAGAGTTTGTCTTGCCAAAATAGGCGTCCCAATCAAACCCAGCGTGCGTCGCCGGGGGTGACAGAGTGATAGATGGCAAGTAATGGCGGCCACGCTGGGATCGTTTCAAGAGTTGCCGTCGTCGCTCGGCTCTGGTCGGCGTTCTTATTTACACTCAAGCCGGCTGGACTGAAGAACGAGCAGCTTGGGGTCCCTTGTAAAAGTGTGCAGACTGTTGACATTACAAGTCAGATGACATCCATTCATGAAGGCTTTTACACCACAATGAAACACTAAAAGTAGTATAATAGTTGACGGTGAAACCTCAGACTTTGATGTCATACTTGGCCGACTCCAAACCTGGTAGGCTGAAATCACTCACAATATTGCGTTGTCTCAGACCGTGGTTCTCCAATTTTTGATACCAAGCACCACCCAGGAATTGAATCGGCTCTCCAAGTACCACTACAATGACTCACATTAAAATACAGTAGGCCTAAGTGTTCATCAAAAACATGACAGAGTTTATATTTCTAAAGTTATAATATTACAAGAATAAAAGGTACCTTTCCAGGAATAATGTCCAAATTATACGCAATTAAAAAAAAATAAATCATAGTAATCCCAGTCGTGTTGTTTTCGTCAACGATGACAATGCCGAAATTGTTTCGTTCACGCCCCTTTTTTTTCCATGAAGATAACGAGAAGATGATAAGTTAAACTCTTTGATGACTAAAATATGACGTGATGTGTGAGTTTTCGTTGATGAGACGAGACTTGACCAAAGTGTTAGCGTGTGGTCTATCAGACGTTCAAAATGCATCTCTTCCTATTGTGGATTTAATCTGTCAGTCAAAAAATATCAGCAATGCTGCTGCAACTTATCCTTGTTTGGTTACGCCCACCACCTGGCCGGCACAACACATCACGTCTGCTGTCAATAGTCATACACACGCTTTCCATTGATGGACCATGGTGGCAGTGTCAACAAAGGGGCTTGGTGGTCAGAAACGAAGAAAAGATACATGGATATGCTTTCTGTACAACCCAACAGAAAGAACAACTCAATGCATTGGAGACGGCGGTAACGGTAAATGTGGCTTTGCTTAAATTAAGTAATATAATAACAATTTAATTACAAAGATTTTGGGCATGTTGGAGCCTATTCCAGGTGTCTTCGGGCAGTCGGCAGGTACACCCTGAACTGGTGGCCAGCCATTCACAGGCCACATATTGACAACCAATCACATACTCAAAATCACACATAGGGGCAATTTAGAGCTGGCATGTCCAGCTCCGGGCCTGGAGGGCCGCTGTCCTGCCTGTTTTCGAGTTCTCCCGGCTGCAACACACCTGATTCAGATGATCAGCTCATTAGCCAGCTCTAAAGCAGCTTTAGAACGATCCTGATGATTTGAACCAGGTGTTGTTGTTCCTGGGAGAGCTGGAAAACAGGCAGGACAGCGGCCCTTGAGGACCGACTTTGGACACCCCTGATTTAGAGTTTTCAATTCAACCTACCATGCATGTTTTGAGAATTTGGGAGGACCCGGAGAAAACGCACGCAGGCACGGGGAGAACATGCAAACTCCACACAGGAAGGCCAGACCTTGGAATCAAACCCTTGATTTCTGACAACCAATATCAATTCATTTTGATTTTCTTGCAGTGGAAGGAAAATAATCATTGGTGACGCTAATGCATCATGAGGCCAGTTTGCCAACGACGAACAAGGAAAGACAATACATGAGGTTCAGTCATGTAATGTGGTGGTGTTTTTTGTGTCTGCAGGTCATGTGGAGAAATCTTATTTCTGCGTATTTCTATGCAGTACAAAAACTGTGAAGAGACAGTTTACTTTTGGGGGGAAAATAAACACTTGGCTGGAAGAGATGAGTTCCATTTCCATTTCTTTCAACGGGGAAGGATGATTTGGGATACAAATGTGGCCACAATACAAATCCAACTTGTATATCAAGGCGCCACTGTTTATGATATTAATTAGACAGGTTTAGAACATCTCACTTTCTGTGTAGTCTTTCCCCTGGCTGGTTGGCTGGCTGGCTAGCGCAGCTTCAGAGATGCGCGATAGCTGGCACGGACTCAGGAGGGAAGACAACGAGCGGCATATGCCTCTCAAGTAATGTGTATCCAAACATGCAATTTACAAATAATTAACGCCGTGTTAATTAGTCACATTAATTCACGCCACTTTGTCGAGATTGTTCCCCCCAATAGACCCCCCCTCTCCCCCACCTTACCCTACCACCGGCGGTGCCCAGGACTCCTGCCAGCAACGTCAGCCAGCCAGAAAAGACGTCAGGAGCCCTTTTTTTGTTTGTGCTCTGAATAAAGAGGGACCGCTGGTGCGAACGCTCACACACAATCACAGACACACACTCCCATACACACAATACACAAAAGCTTGTACACGCGGTGCGCATATAAAGAGTGTGCAGACAGCAAACACAAAATAAACTGAGGCAAGTACACAGAGCCTCCCTGCCAACAAATACATATCTTTTACAGAGGCCTGTATACACCCCAAAATGTGTTTGTACAATTCAGTCCCATTGAGTAGCCTAGATCCATCTGAAGTTTAGTAAATGAATATAATTTATGGAAATACGATGTTTAACAATTTGGCCACAATTAGCTGCTATGCCATGTCCACATGCAAAGACGAAAACTAAAATGCTTCACAAATTCATGATATCTAATAATTTGTCTCCTCTACATAGTTTAAATTTGGCAGCAAT